CCCCGTTGGCAATTTTTATTTGAGGTTGGATATAGACTAGATTCCGAGTGTTCTCTTAGTCTATGGCTACGTCCAATTTCCTGTAAAAACCGCCCAGTTAGTACCGAAGTGAGAGGTTCGACCTGTTTCATTTTTTTTTTATTATTTATTGTTTTAATTTTTTTTCTTCTCTCGGAGGTTGGATTTATCTTTAGTCTAGAGTGCTCTCTGCTGACGACGTATCTAACTTCCCAAAAAAAAGAAAAAAATAACGTTTAAATTAATTTCCGCGCCTCACTTCGTGTAAAATTTATTTTCTTTTATTTATTCATTCAATTGTATTTGAATCATTCCGTTTCTCCTGTCCGCAACTAATGGTTGAACAAAGCCGACAAATCCTGTAAAATTAAATTCACATACGCGCTCGATAGACGCTGGGCAAAAATTCATAAATATTATTTTCTACGATCGTCTTGGTCGCCGATTCAAGACACCGTTTAAGTAAAACCTTATTTATCAGTAGGCGAGAATTTTGCGTTTCCCATCGATTGGATAGTAAGATACAAGGGGACTCCAACAATTCGGATTTCATTTATGTGCTTACATCTGGTTTTCGACATATTTAAATTGTTTTAAGTGTATTAATTTATTTTCATACATTTTCCGTATACTGGGTTTTTCACGATTCCCAATCCGATTAGCCTCCTGAGCTAGTAAACTGTAATTATTTAAAGGTTTAAATAATTTTCAGTATTAGTAATTTATTTATTTAATTTTCCCGATATAGGGATCCGTTAATATTTATATAGTTTTAAACTTTAATAATTCATTTATTAAATTTCCCAAAAATAGGGATCCGTTAATGCTGAATTTTCAGTTTTAGTAATTTATTTATTAAATTTTCCAGCTATAGGGATCTGTTAATAATTATATAATTTTCAACTTTAATAATTTATTTATTAAATTTCCCAAATATAGGGACCCGTTAACGTTTAAATAGTTTTCAGTCTTAGTAATTTATTTATAGAATTTTCCTGACATAGGGATGTGTTAATAATTATATAATTTTCAACTTTAATAATTTATTCATTAAGCTTTACAGATATAGGGATTTGTTAATATTTAAATAATATTCAACTTTAATAAATTTCCCAAATATAGGGATCCGCCATTATTAATACACTCTTACTTTGTTAATTTAATTTTTGGTAATTTTTTTTATTTAGGGATCCGTCTTTGTTTGAATAGTTTTCAGATATATTAATTTGTTTTTATTTTTTTAATACGGAGGTCCGTCAATAATTAAATAGCTTCTGACATTAATATTTAATTTTCATTTTTTTCTTTGTATACTAGGACTTGTGAGGTATCTGAACCGCCTAGCCTCCGGTGCTGGCGATCCGTAACTGTTTCTCATTATTTGAATTGTTTACAAGTGTATTAAACCATTTTCCGTAAACCTCATGACGCCGTAGTATTTAAGTAATCGTAATTGTATCAATTTACTTGTAGTATTTTCTTTTTCTCTCTCCGCTTTATACTAGGTCCGCTATTATTTTCTTACAGTCCGGTTTAATTTTATTGTTTCTTTATATAATTCTGTTTTACCGCCGTGCCAGACCAGTGTACCGGCACTTTTGTAATTTTCTGTAAATATATATTTTATTATCTATTTCTGCGTTTCTATTATTGCTGGTTCTTGACCGTTCTCTTTCAGGGTACCGTAGGGTACGAGGTATTAAGAAGATAAGTGTTTTGTTTATTTTTTTATTTATTCTAATATAGTGTTAACTTAGCAGTGACCGCCTGGAATTATTTTTACCTCCACTGAGTTCACCTTGAGTACACTCTGGTGTACCACAGGGTCGCAGAGCAAACTGCGATATCAAAACTGGCGCCTGAGCTACTCCTATTCGGGAATTACATTAATAGCGCCACAGACTCGTTGATTCACAGCAGGTGAACCAGGAGCCTGTCACATAGTCTAGTAGTTTTTCTTCGTTGTTTCAAGCATTTGTTACGTTAAATTAATTTTAAATTAATTTCAAATTAATGTTTAACAACAACTTCTCCATAACCCCTCGTAGCACAACATGTAATATTATTACCATTATCGATTTTTACAAAGCATCGTTCGCGCATGATCTGCTTATGTCCAGCGCATAGCCCATAGCGGTTCTTTTAGCAACCAATTCATATAAAACCTAAAACGGTGAATTAATTTTCCCTTTTTGGTGTTTAAATTCAAAAGTACCTAGCTGTGCCAATAAATATAATAAAATGAGTTGGGATAACTGTCAGGTAAATGTTTTTCTTTTATTCCCATTTTGCTGGATTTCGTTGCTTTTTTTTATTATTACCATGCTGATGAAAGCCGGCTTCCATATTTTATTTCATTTTATATAGATTATAGCTACCCTAACTAATAATATTTTTAAGCTTTCTTATATATATATATATATATATATATATATATATATATATATATATATATATATATATATATATATATATATATATATATATATTAATATAAATGTATTATCATTGAATTACTTTGATATATACGCGGGGAGGCAATTAAATAATTGAATTACAAGTCAGTCTGGAAATACAGTTTAAACGGAAATTTATGGCTCCTAACTTATTTTTGCCTTATAAATATTTTCTATTTTGTTCAGATGACGTAACTTTAATATTTGTCGTGATATTTTATATTCTGTTCAGACGATATAACTTTAATATTTGTCCCGTTTATGCATAAATCCGTTAGATTTCCAAACTGGCATGTATATGTACTTTTACACACGGTACTGAGGTTCTTTTATTTCTAAACCTGTAGTGGCTCCAAGAAGAGGCTACTCCTCCAAATATCCAAGTACTCAAGTACTGTCTCCAAGAAGAGGTTCCAAGTAGTACTTCCAAATAGTACCTCCAAGTAACGGTTCCAAGTAGTACCTCTAAGTAGTACCTCCAAGTAGTACCTCTAAGAAGAAGCTCTAAGATCATTAAAGAAGCTCCAGGCTCTTCTATGAAAACGCATTAAGAAGCTCCAAGCTCCTCCAGGAAGCTCCTAGTTGCCCCTAGCTTTAAAAAAAGGGAAGTACGGTACCTAGGTACTAAAATATCACCATTTATCGAAGTATCTTCAGTAAATTTAAACAATCATTGATTCATTCAACTCTATTCACTAACTATTTACTTTGTAGACTTATGTAAACTTAATCTTTCATTTTTTTTATTAAATGTATTAAATTTTCTCACTTTCTTTTATTTGCCAGAACCCATACAGATAACTTTAAGTACCAGAAACGGACTCAATTAAACGGGACATTTAAAATCAGATAAGTTTTCCAAGTTACTGAAAAACTTGGTGGCGCTCAACTTTTTTTGTTATTGTCTTATTTTAATATCTTTCACTTTATCTTAAAGTAGATCTTGGCTTGCGAACAGGTCAAGCTACTCTGATTTTATTTGTCCTGGTCAATTTTTGAATCCACATATATCAGCAATTTGAGCTAAATCACTTATTAAATAAATTAACAACATAGAAATCTAGAAAGAAGGCAACAAATTCCAAATGTTTGCAAATATCAACATGATTGGAACGATTTTCATTTTTTGACTGACCCATTTTTCATCTGTTGTCATGTCGAACGTAAACCATTGATTCTGCTTTAAAGCAATGGGTATAAAATGTCCTATACTCTCGTTTGAACACCGACACAAAAGAAATAATGCCAGTTGTATAACACGATTGTGATGAAGATAGCTTGGCGGCCCAATCCAGTGATAAATAGGATATAAAGGCTGGGGAACAAGCTTTTTTGGGACAGCAATTTTTATTGGTGCTTTTTTTGTTATTATTAGTTATTGTTAACATCTTTTCATTACAAAAATAACCAAATAACATGTTCTAAACTAAATATAAAATATATTAATCCATATTTTTCTTTTGAAGTTGAGAAATAAATATGAGTGTTCTTAGAACTTCCCCTGCTTGGAAAATAAATATTAAAGCTACTTTTGTTTTTTTTTTGTTTACTATAAAGTTTTTTAATTTTGGTTAAATTTATTGTTTTTGTTTAGTATAATGGTTATAAATTGACTTTTTCTAGATCTGACACTTTTGTATAACTTTGGCTGTGTATTTTCATTATTTTTAGTAGCCCACGTTCGCCAAATAATACCTTAGGACGGCCCTGGTAGAGCCATCATAGATGGAGGTACTTAAAAGGTTTGACGTAGAAATCTGATAATTTCTAGAATTAAATTAGATATATTTTCACAATTTTGAATTAAGTATATTAAATACTTCGTTAAACCGTCTCAAATAATTTTAAATCGACTATATTAGTATTACAAACATGCAACTTTTGTGCCATTTAAGCAATATATTTCTTATGGTTTATGAAATCGTGTGCATAAGAATTGAAATTTTGGCCATCTTGTATATTGTTAGAGTCAACGAATTAGGATATCGGCGCCACTGGGTCGACGATACCACGTCTGCCCGTTGCAGTGATTGTTAGAGTCAGCGAATTGGTATATGGCCGCCACTGGGGTCGACAATACCACGTCTACTCGTTTCAGTGTTCAGGATTAGGAGAAAGCGCCGAGAGCGAGGATTTGACTTTCGACCTGCCGAACGTGATGAAGTGATGGGCCTTATGCCCTTTAAAGACATTCTTTATTTTGTTCCTTAATTAATTACATTTCAAACATTTTTTACGAGTTATTTAATCAAACGTTATAAAACCATGTTAACACGTGTTTTTTGAAGTGGCTATACAGGGTGTTATAGTATATAGGGTGATAAATCATTTAAAAACAATAATTTTGAAGTTAATTCTTTTAACTTCTAACAATATACTTAAAAAAAAGACGTGAACAGCAGATAGCTGAGTGCTGAAAAATTAAGACAAATAGCTGACGGTACAACCAGTTTGTATTTTAAATGTATAATAATTTAAATAAAGAAATTTTGGATATTCTGAAGATTAATCAATTTTTCGTACTACCTTTAGTAACTGCCTTTTCTTTTGGTTTATCCCGTGCTTCAAATTGATCCATATAATCCAGATGAATATGTCGCCTTTTGTTCCTTATCAGTTCATTTTGAACTTCTTGAAAACCAGTCTAAAAAAAGTTAATTGATTAAAAATATTTTAAAGGAAAGTGAAAAATGACTCAGTTAGATCCGATGCCCTCCCACCGAGATTGATCAGTCTTTTATGTAGAGTAACCATGTATATACAGCGATTTTTGGTGGGCCTCAGACAACCATGATCCCCCTCGAGGTTAACATTTTTACAATCCATGAGTCAGCATTTTCCAAGTCTGCAAAAATCATATATGCAAAATGCTACTTTTACCGGGCAAAAGTAATAAGTAGGACTTGGGGAACTAATAAAAAGGTCTTCTAGTACCTGCGAGTTATGTTTATCTTTAGGGTTGAACAAAAAAAAACAGATCATCGCTGTTTGAGGTTTTTATAAAAAAATCATGTCCAAATTAAAAAAAAAAAAAAAATAGTATGGCCTCCACTGAAACTTCAACCTGGAGCTTAGTTGAGAATCATACAAACATTATAATAGCAATTAAACCACTCTTCGACCTTTGGTTTAGATTTTACATTTATTTCAACGTTACAATTTATTTGTATATATCAACCCTTACACAGACAAAAAAATGCTTGCAATATCATCTTAAGTTTAGAAAAATTGTGTTTAAACTATATCCCAAATTTCGTTGAAAAAGGTGAATTTCAAGTAACAGGTGGTTTAAAAGGTATAAAAACCTAACCTAACTTAACTACAAAAAATAACCAAGAACAATTTTTGCAGTCAGATAAGAGACTACAACTACAATATTTCATGTTTAATATATTAATATTTCATTATTATTATTACGAAGTAATTAGTACATTACTTCAAAATGGGATTATATAAATATATTTACCAAAGGTTCGGGTTCAACTCTCTTGGATTCAATTTTTTCAAGTAATTTTTTATGCGGAACATGGAATGGTATAACTTCAGGTTCTCTGAAACCAAATATACATTATCACAATAAAATAAACAGATGATAATGGCTAGCTACAGGTGTTTCATATTTTTATGAAAATTATAATTAAAAAAAAAATCGCAAACAGTATATTTGAAAATAAGTGGCTGAAATAATTTGAAAACAAATTTCAAAAATCCCTGTACAATTATCAGAACTATCCCCAAACCATAAAGGTGAAAACAAATACTCGGATCTCCAAGACAAATTGGACTAATTCAGCTATCCTCTTGTTGATAGTAGAGAGTTATTGCAAGTTCACTTAAGGTCAGTCACTATTAGTGCCACTCTTATTTTGACATCTGAGCATGCGCAGATCACTAACTTTAATAAAGATTTTGCCTGTCCTTAATAGAGAGATATATCAAATTTCTATAAAGCCAGCCACTAATAGTGACATCGTAATTAGAGTCAAATAAATTCCATGCTAAAATCAGACTTATTGCAAACCTGAAATTTTGACATTAGAATTAAATATTTAATATTAAAAAACTTCTAACGAATACGAATGTCGCCGAGCGCATCCGAAAGCTATAAAGTCGCCACTACCTGCTGCCCTGAGAGCTCTTTCAAACGAAGATACTGTATGCGAGATACGCGTATCCGAGATTCAGGCTGACTATACATTCAAATGGACCTTTTCACACGGTACGGGCGACGCATACAGTATCGCGATACGGAATTTCTGCATTCCGGCACCTCCAGCCGCGGAGGCTGAATGCGTATGCCGCATACCGAATTACTATTACGATATATGGACCTTTTCAGACATGGATACTTTTGCAACGGAGATTATGTCATAGTCGCAGGATATTTTTCAAGAGTATCCTAAGTGCATCTAGTTTAATCGATTAAACTGTATGAGAAAACATTATTTAAAACATTTTAGTACAAAGTAAAATTTTAAAAATTATGTCAAGTTAACTATTAACGGGCTATATGGGTAAACATTTTCATAATAAGCAACTTTTTATTAAGCAATTTATGAAATTAATACCATTTTTTGCAATTTTTAGAAAAAAAAATGTTATTTTGGACATTTAAAAAGGTCACATGATTGTCAATTTGCATGTCATTCGTTATCATTTTTAAAGCAACAGAAGATGACAAAGTCAAAATTCATCTACAGCATTTAGAAAAAAATCTCATACGATGCTCATTTTATGTGTGTCACTGTATTATATACTTCAGTATAATACACTCTTCTAGATCCATAATTCAAAAATATATGCACGGCAATGCTACTATTTTAGTACTGATTGAAGAGGTGCGTGAATTCGATACAGCAGCCCAACTTTTCGACTGCGATTCTGTATCTCGGATACGCGTATCTCGCATACAGTATCCTCGTGTGAAAGATAGAGCTCTTTCACACGAAGATACTGTATGCAAGATACGCGTATCCGAGATTCAGGCTGACCATACATTCAAATGGACCTTTTCACACGGTACGGGCGACGCATACAGTATCGCGATACGGAATTTTTGCATCCCGGCACCTCCAGCCGCGGAGGCTGAATGCGTATGCCGCATACCGAATTACTATTACGATATATGTACCTTTTCAGACATGGATACTTTTGCAACGGAGATTATATCATAGGCGCAGGATTTTTCAATGGTAGGTAGGTATCCTGAGTGCATTTAGTTTGATAGTTTAATTTATTTGAGAAAAGATTAAATTAAATGCACGAAGAGTTTTTTTTTAATTATTTTACGAATAAAAAATTAGCCTAAACTACGGAATTTTTATATTCCTAGTAGTAATGTACTCTACATATGCATTTGCGTGTCAAACTCGTACATTTTTCTTGATAAAACAACATTATTTGGTTCCAAATTGATTTATGAGTTTTGAGTGTAATAATTAGATTATTTCATCACCTACCGTATCTATATTGAAAATATCACAGGTATTACTTTTTCTTAATATACAGTGTTACACATAAAGTGCGCATCGTATGGGATTTTTTTTTTCTAAATAATGTAGATACATTTTGACTTTGCCATTTTTTGTTGCTTCAAAAATGATAACCAATAACATGCAAATGGAAAATCACGTGACTTTTGTAAATGTCAAAATTGACCTTTTTGTAAAAAAAAGCAAAAAACCTATGCCTAAAAGTTACTTATTTTTTACCCATATACCAATTTTCAACTTTTTTTATTTTTTCTACCAATTCATTTTAAGGTTACTAGAATTTACGCTAACCTGCTTGAATGGGGATGATGCTGCTGGACATCCTCATCACGAGTGCCAGTTCTTAGACTGGCCACAGCTCGTATCTTTTGGTTTAACACTAGCTGCGTCAATAAAAAAAAACTGCGAACTTTTGTATTCGTATAATATTACCATGAACAGGAACACATTAAAGGGCCCCACTCACCTCGTTCTTCTTCGCCGTTTTTAACCTACGGTCAAAAACGTTGGAAGGAAAAACGTTGACTGATATGCCCACACACAACAGTTTTTTTTTGCGCTAGTTTATCACGATGGACCGTTCGTGCTTGTTAGCAGTGGCAGCGGTTTTGTCAGTGGAAAAAATCTCGAAGAAAATGGACTAAAGACTGGCTACTTAAACACAGTACACTGTCACAAACAAATTTACTAGAGGAGCTAAGATTGGAGCCTGGTGATTGGCACAATTACTTGAGGATGGACGAGGATACGTAACGGAAACTGTTAAAACTAGTAACACCGTTAATTGAGAGACATAATACCCATTTACGGGAATGCATCAGTCCTCACGAACGTCTAACAGCTACTCTGCGGTTTCTGGCCACTGGCCGCAGCTACGAGGATCTGAAATGTTTGGTTATTATTTCACCGCAGGCACTAGGACGCATAATACCCGAAACCTGCCAAGCTCGATAAACTCTAATAAAAATCTCTGTTCCACTGTCTAATATCCGACATTTTTATTATAACCAATTGTAAATAATAATAAACAACAAAAACATGCTGAACGTCACTGCTACTGATAAATGCCCGACCAGTCAAACTGTTGAGAACACACACCTCGTGTTTACTCGAACGGTTGGCACGAGAACCGTCAAAAATCAAGACTCGCCTGAAATTTTGGAACGACGTTCATAAGCGACGTTCTTGCCCATACACCTCATTTTTGTGACATTTTTACCCTGGCGTTTTTAACCGTCGGTTAAAAACGGCGGAGAAGAACGAGGTGAGTGGGGCCCTACATTAACAATTCTTTTACAACTATATTTTCTATTATCTAATACAGGGTTTTGAATGTAAAAATAGAGATTACAAGAATGACTTTTTCCGTTGACTTCTGCCCAAAAAACAACAACAACTTGCCTAGCGACCGTATTCCTACGTCCCAAAATGATTGTGACGCGCGAATGTTGCGAAACGGGATACCCGGGTTGCTCATTAGAAATGTGTCGTCATATATTTATTGTCAAAATTCCTACACTGCATAAATTAATCTGTTAACGCGATGCGCTTCTTTTAAATGTTTTTTTGTTAAAAAATATTTTATACAACTAAACTCCAGTAACCCAAAACTGAATTGGTAGAAAATAAAAATTTGACACGGGCTATATATGGCTAAAAAAAATATAAAATAAGCAACTTTTTGTAAAACAATTTTTTAAAATTGCCATTTTAGCAAATTTTTAGGAAAAAATGAAATTTTAGACATTCAAAAAGGTCACGTGTATGTTCATTTGCATGTCATTCGTTATCATTTTTAAGGCAATAAAAGATGGCAAAGTCAAAATTTATCTACAGCATTTACAAAAAAAGCCTATACGATGTGCATTTTATGTGGGTCACTGTATTATATACCTCAGTATAATGCACTTTTCTAGATCCTTAATTCAAACCTAGACACGCCACTGTGACCATTTTAGTACTGATTGTAGAGATGCGTGAATTCGATACAGCAGCCCAACTTTTCGACCGCGATTCTGTATCTCGAATACGCGTATCTGGCATACAGTATCCCCGTGTGAAAGAGCTCTATCTTCGTGTGAAAGCGCTCTTAAACATCCACAATTAAGGACAGGTAAAATCCTTAATAAAGTTAGTTTTAGAACATAAACATCTACGCATGCTTAGATGTCAAAATAAGAGCAGCACTAATAGTGACTGACCTTAAGTGAACTTGCAATAACTCTCTTATTAAGGACAGGCACAATCTTTATTAAAGTTAGTGATCTGCGCATGATCAGATGTCAAAATAAGAGCGGCACTAATAGTGACAAATCTTAACTGAACTTGCAATAATTCTCTAGTAGTCTTTAAATTTGGCTTGCTGGCGTCATTTGTCAAAAGTTTTTAAAAAATACATTGGTTATTAATTTGTAGATGATGTAATATTAATATTTAATTATTTTGTACCTACGACAACAATTAAAATTAAATAAATCATTCTCAATATTGCGAAGACGCCCTTTTCTTAAAAATATAATTTGTTTTACAAAACTTACATTTTAGGCTTACCGGAAACCCCATAAATTAACTTTTTTTTTAAATTTACATATTAAAGACTTATGAGGATCATTATGTGATAATTTGTGTAAACTTAGTCACTAGAATTTAGAATTAAATCTGTCATTCTGTCAATACAAATTAGCGCAGTGTTGCCAAGTGTCCAACTAAAATCAATGAAAAAGAAATATAAAAGAGAATACTTTATTTTTGACATAACATTTTCATACTCTTTAAAAAGTAATTCTATCGTTCGATCATGTATTGGGATAGATAGATACGCCTTGTTTACATAAAAAATTGTCGTATGATAATAAGATCCACAATCGCATGCACAACTAATGGTGGTACCAGCAGAGGTTGCCACAGTATCTTTTTCGGTTAAACGTATAAGAATAATAATGACTATCTCCCTAGACCAAATATCAGCGACTATTTCTCTAAAAAAATAGTCGATATTTGGTCTAGTGAAATAGTCGTCCCAAATATTGAAAAGGGCTGCAAATAAAAAATAAAATGAC